CCTGACGCCACTCTCCCCTGCTAATATTTCACCAAACACGTCTTCAGCCTCGTTTACTAAGTGAACATGATGAAGACGAGGGTCCCACCCAAAGCATTAAGATCATCTAATCCCTCATGTGAGGTTAAAACCACAGTAGCGCTTATCGAGCAACCAAGGATGGACAAAAATGTACTCAAAAGACAGGAAAGTCTTGATCCGATATGTGGATGACGTGTGTGTGTGTGTGTATTTATAAAACGGGCCCAAGCACTTATTAAAAAGTAGGTCAACTATATTGCTCGAGGCAGCTTAATGACAAATTGGAGAGGAATCAAACTTAACCAGGTGCTGCTTCTCGACTCAAACACGTTTGTAGACCCAAAAAATCAGCGTGGGCGAATAAAATTAGCAAAGTACAAGTTATTGATTTCAGCAGATACTAAAACTCCCACAGAAACGCGAAATTCTTAGTCGTAGGTCGAAATATCCCAAGGCATTCGATGTCAGTCGTCGCAGATGACCAGGTCCACCGCCGTCTCAGAGAGGTAGTAGTGACTTGCAAATTAGTTTTTCTAGGGCGAAGCATACTTTACAGCATCCGCAGCACCATCTAGTCGTCCACTATGTGCCAATGGCAAGACTGCCAAGACTGGTGTTGAGGCTGCAGATCGCAAACCAAGCCTACGCGTGTCATACACATCCCGGCTCAAAAGTTCATAGGAAGCAGGTTTCTGATCAAGGGGGTCTGGGGCATCACAAAGCGGGAGCCATTACATTTTGACCATCTGTGCTGAATTAATCCGAGGTACATCGCCAACTAGTAACCATATAGTCCACAATAACCAGCATGTTATTACAACCAAAGGCGCCTTTACCACCATACAACAGGCGTGAAAACCCATGAAATGTCACGAGTTATCACGAGAAAATCCACATAGCGCGAAACCCGACCAAACTTTAATCATGAAATTTCACGAGTTAAACCAGGCCGTGAACCGACCCAGCCCCAGTGCCTTGGTGGTCAGTCCCGATCAGGTTGTCTGAAGATCAGATTCGGTGCAACGCCTGAAGCGGCCTCTATGTGACGCGTGCCACACACGCGATACGGCCATACTTAGGTGCCGTTAACGTCTAACACTTCCTAGGGGTCTCTTATCCAGTCGGCTGACAGCCCACTAAACCAAAACTTATAGCGTGGCCTGATGGTGCAGTACTTAAGTGATTATTTGAAGCATTTTGTCCCTACGGCGTTTGTGTTACTAACTTTATCGATTAGCCAACTTTGCCCAAAACCCTAACCTTGCTGTTTCTGCGTCGATTTTCTGCATGAATTCAAATCTGTTGTATTGTTCTCACTCGTTATCCCTCTTATGAAGCGACAGGAAGCAGCTGAAGAGCAGTCGCGAAATTTTTGGTGCCAATAAATCCTGCCGTTCTTGCCTACTTCAGCTTAAGTGATTATGGTAAGGAATGGGCTGAATGGACGCAAACGTGTCTCAGTATCCGCCTCATTCTCTTCCAAACCCATGACTGGTAGCCGAATAGTAATGAGCTACATCGCAACCCCCATGCTGGGGTGAGCGCCAGTCTGGGGCCTGCCACACGCAAACTTGGGACGGCTGATCAAATCTTGTAACGAGATATTTCCATTCTCTTCGTCTATCGGAACAGCAGCGCAGCACCTATCGGGGTCACCGAAGTTCCATAAAAGCAGCGCGAGGTCAACAGAGCAATTGCTCCGCTGTTCGTAATTTTGCCCTGCCATTGAGTGACGGTGGGTGTGACGTGTCGAGGCAGGTGCAGCGAAGCCTCGATCACTATGACTCAGTTCAAGTTCAGGTCACCATTAGGTCATCTCAACGTTAGCGAACATCGATCCATACGACAGACAAAGTGTCACAGTTACGGGGCCCCCTGTCATCTGTTCATACCCCGGTAGATCGCCAGCAACTAAGTCGCTGAAAGACAGTTTAAGTCCTCGGTGTCCAGCCACGCTCGTCTGTGTTATCTCCGCAAGAAGAAACAAGATACCAGGTGTTGATGTTCCGAGTCTAGCTTCAGACTTGCGGTCAAAAATTCCTCATTATTGACCGAGGTGTGGACACTACTCAGTGTGACTTTTGTTAAGTAAAATGGCACTGAATGATCGACTATAAGGAAGGCATAACTACAAAATTCCGGAGTTTCGGGAGAAGGTGCTTTAAGGGCTATTTCTAATTTCTGATCAAATTTAGCGTATTTTTGCTCTGGGAACAAGGTGCTCGTTGTTCCACAATGTGCCCGGAACCCACATGTTTTGTAAAAAAACTCCAACGTTGTAATCCACATTGACCTGCTACACTACCGGGCTCCTTCATAACCCTATATTCCAGTTAGTCCAACTGGGCTGTCGGAATGACTTCGCATATAGGAAAACTAAGTAGATGAGACCCATAGTACGGGTGACACTGACATTTTTACGATCCCGGGATCAGTGGTGCGAAAGACAACCAAACAAGGAGGGTGAATGACAATGAAAGTGTATCAAAGCGGTTCAGCTCAACTTTGAACCCAGTTCATCGATTCGGTGATGTCCTCGGGGTGGAACAGTTCTCGTACCATTGCATAAAGGTAGGAGGGCGCTTGGCCACCAGCAGTGGTGAGAAAAAGGCTTGTCAGGCCAGGTGGGATAAAGTCCCACTTCGGCACCCAAACAATAGGTGTCGGCAGTTTGGACTGTGTCTCGTTGGCTCTGTCAGTCCTCTCTATGAGGTCTCTCGGCAGAAGACGCGATGGTGCATCTAGCCAGTCCACAGAGAGATCAGAAGTGGCCAAGGACGTGGTCAGGGCTGCCGGCGTACACTTCGCCAGGCAGTTTGTCAGTTGCGCGTTTGAGGAGGAGATTGAGACCAGATTGAAATTGATGGGGGAGATTTTGTATGGAGGAAGGCACACATAGGTCTATAAACGGGAAGGTAACCAAAAGTGATCGGATGCAAGCTCACCAACTGATAACTGTGCGTCGCTGACAGTGATAAAAACTCGATCTCTACTTTTGTTCTTTTATAATTTTGTAACTACCCGCGCAGGACGGCTGCCATATAGGCTAACCTTGTCGGAAAAGAAATTTTGGAATTCTCCCACAACTATGTGGGATTTCGACGGGCGGTCGTTGTGCGGACGTTAGACATGGTCACTTTTGGACTTATCCAACATGTTGGCCAAGTCAGAGGTGGGTCTTTTACCCTCACTCCAATTCCGACGTGACTGGCAACTCAGCCAAAGCAGAGTTGACGAAAGGAGTTCACGCTCGTCAACTCGGATAGTCAACTGGTCATAACTTACCTCTTATAGAAAACAAATAACTTCCGTTAGTCACCTACGAAGTGTCAGGTGACTCTTCCTCTTATTGGTAGAAATAATCGAACCAATACCGAGGTCGCGCAGTAGCAAAGTACGTCACGATGATATCTATGAGGAAGTCTAAAAGTTCTTCGCGATCGGGCTGGTATTCAACTTTCATGATATGACTAGATGAGTACGGCGAAGTGGCGGCGTAGTTGCTGACTTAAGGCAGACCATCGTTTTACCTATCTCTAAACGTGGCATACGACCGGACATGAAGAAATAAATCCAAAGGGCTACGATATCGTCATCTTCCGATGACTAAGATTTTTTGGTTTAAGAGCGAGAGCGAACCAAAGTAAATTAGGGGTAAAATGTGGATGCGTCGACCTACTTATTTATATCAGGAACGACTGTGGCCAATAATAAGTAGAGCTCACTCGAGAATAGTCAGCGGCGTAATTAGGCGGTGTGGATCTGTAGTAGACAAACCCTTCCAGATGAACAAAAGTCGACATTTAGATGTGTCCTCGAATTTTGCCATGGTAGCCCGCTTCATTCATTCTGCGGCGCTGTTCTTAACTGTACCTATCCTAAGTCGTGGAACAATGGCTGGAATAAGCAGTTCGTTAACACATGAGACCCGTTATAATAACCGGTCGCCAACTCTAGGGGGACAACTTTTGGTCTGAAGTAGGATCAGTAAAACAGCATCTCCGCGTGGCTTTGTGTGCTACCGGTCGAAAACGACGGGGCGCAAGCTGGGATACAGTAGAGAAGCGTTTGTTCGGAAGGAAAGATGAATAACTCGACCCGGACTTAAATATCGGTCCTTCCTTGACTGCAGTTAAGATATGGCTGGCGAAAGATGGTAAACATACCCCAAATACTACCAAATTGCAAGCTACTGACAGAAGAACAAAGGGCGGTTTGGAGGTCTCTAAAAAACTGTTTGCTGACCTTTGAAAGTGCGGCCACGGTAAATCACTCACCAAAGTCAGCTTTCATCAGTCGCTACGGTTGCAAACAATTAGCTGTGCGTCGAAGACTAGCAAATATTGCAGTAATTAGCCTCCAGGTGGAAAGTACATATTTCACTTTTAGCAAGACGGTTCGTACGTGAAGTGGAAGAGTCGCGACTACCTCACTGCATCGTATTCGTGGGCTGAGGACAAATGTTCGAAATCTGACGTTATCACTGAGACGCAGATGGGACTATCTCGCAAAGCGGCTCAACACGGTCTAGAGATCATCACGCACGGAAAATCTCGTCCGGAACATCATTGTGGATGGTTAATTAATATAGTCTAACAGATGTAAACAGTAAAGCCCGTGCGGGCCGCATATGCGGAAATCAACGGCAAGTAGACGTGACAAACCAGAGGAAATTGAAACCCACAATAATCCTGACGCTCCGAGACAATTGCAAATGGCCTTCGGCAGAAAAAAGTCCATATAAAGGTGGAGAAATAGTAGCAAAATGTACACAAATACACCTGTGTGTGTGTGTGTAAAAAGGCATACCGGGATCGAAAAGTGCTTAGCTGCCAGCATAGCGCTGAATGTTCCACTCTGAGCTTTCAAGGACCCATCGGGGTATACGGCACTGCAACCTAAGATAACCTGAGAGTGTTAAGAAAGGTCTGACGTACCTTATTCACACGCGCCATCAATCCAAAGACGTGACTGTCTGGTACCAAGATGACCGAGATCCCGTCCGCTGACAAGTCTTCAGCCATCCGGTGACCCTAAGAAGTTCGATAAGGCAAAAGCAAAAACCTGATTATCTGGAAACCCCTCGCAAACTATCACGCGAAACTGACGATTTTTCTTAGCAGCATACTAGGTTGCCAAACTTAATAATATGGAAAATTGGTGAACCTTCAAAAAGTTGTAGACCGTGTTCGACTTTCCAACAGTTAATATCAACTCATCAGAGTGAATAAAGTTTAGAGAGAGTCCTGCGATATAGTCCATGTAAGAGTTAATTTCTAATTTGAGGTCATCCAGTGCGGTGGTCAGGGGCTCGCTGAGATCCTTCCTTTCAATTTTGGACCAATCGAAAGAGCTTAAATCTGATAAAAGATTCTATATAAATAATTAGCAAACGTAAATGAAGAACCAATTGCAGTTCGTCCCGTTCGTTCGTTCTCCCAGGATGAAGTCTATCTGTAAATTAGACTTAGAATGCGTTTACTTTACTGATTCTTCCCGGATTAACTTGAGAAATCTCAACACCGTATTGTGCACGACCGTTTCTTCCGACGAACGGGAGAGTAAAGCCCTCCCGACATTATTAGCAAGGTCAATGAGTTCCCTAAGCCTCGACACGCATGCAGTAAACGCACCTCGCATTATTCCACTTTCCGTCCTTTACGCATTTGCTTAGATGGCTCAACACGGCGATAGTCCTAGATAGATCGGATTGTCTAAGAGCAAGGACAAAGTGTCTTGATAACAAACTTACGCATTGGGACTGGGAACAGAGTAAACTTGACCAAGGTAACCACCGACCGGAGCCATGAAGTACACCAATTGCGTACGGAATAACCAGATTACCCAAGTGGTTCAAGGTCGCTGATTTGTGGGATACCCGGTGTCGTACCTCAAGGATAATTTATGGAGTAAAATACGCGTGAACCTTTGAATACCCCATTTGCAACATAAAATTGGGTGCGGTTTGCAAAAAAGCCGCGTGAGCTTAAATTGTTCAAGTGGGCAGATAATAGCATGAGAAATTGACAAGAGTATCAGGGGTTGTGCCAGATCTCTCATCGCCCATGTTTATTTCGGAGCACAATTATGTCAAAGTTCTTTTTAAAGCTGTCTATCGATGATGACGTCGCAACGTCTGAGGGGAGGGAACTTCGTGGTTTGACCGCCTTGACATGGAGGGCAAACTGTTACGACCGATTGTTTTAAACGGACCTTTTTTACTTCCCGCCCTCCCTTTTCAGAGTTTGGGTCACGTGGATTCGAGCCAACGCCTGTCGACGCGCCCTCCGCTAAGTCCGCTTTCTCTTATCGTTTCCGTATTCCTGGACTACCGATTCGTTTTCCGTCTCGTTTATTTCACAACTAACCAATCTTTTTCCGTAATGCGCGTTTTGTCGATTCATTGGATTAAGCTGTATTCTCATAGTTGTTTAGTAGTCTGTACCCGCTATTTTTACCTTTATTATAGATCGCGCCAAACTTATTTTTCTGTCGTGCCGCCAACCTTTTGCCAATAAACTTTAATATCCAGTTCATCTGTCGCTATTATGTCCACTCCACCTCTTTCATTTGCCAGTGTGTATGATGGAGTAACTCAACTTTTAGAGGAGTTTTCCTTGGCTACCCATACGAAAGACCACAAGCCATCACAGTCATCTCAGGCCTCCCCGAGTATCCCAGAGTCCCTCCTTACTCGGCCGCTACATTGGTGGCAGCGGTGGGATGTCGATCAAGAAAAGATCTCAGTCACGCAGCCAATCACGAATGTTGTGTCCGGGTTCGTAGGCGTCTGGGTCCAACAGGGGGCTAGGCGCTGATGTGTATAGACGGTCGGTGGGAGGGGCCACTGGGGGAGGGTCGGGAAAGGGTGGATCAACGAAAGGGTTCGTGGGCGAAGTAGCTGCCACCAATGTAGCGGCCGAAGACGTCAAGGGTAGCACACACCACGTAACGGAATACCGAGGAAGAGATCCTGGCTTGTGCTGATCTGAATACGATTGTTAGCAGTTCACGATACTCATCCATACATAAAGGAAGAAGAAACGATCGGTGGACGAGAAGATATAATGAACAGAAAAGGGAATGGCAAAGGAGTAGAATGCCAGTTAAAAGTACAAGCGGGATAAGTTACAACAGTCAAGTGACCTGCCTGGGTGGAGAGGCGAGGCCAACATGCCAGCTGGAAAACCGGTGGGGAGAGCAGCGCTGGGGGCAACTGCAGGGAAGGGCCAAGGGGGTTGCCGATGTAGTGATGTTATCTTTGCCTGCTCACCGTTTCCATTTCAGCAATGAGCTAGCTCAACGGCTAGACAACCTTCCTATCGCTGCCGCCGCCGCCGCTGCCGAGAATGCCTCCGTGGAGAACCGCTGGTGTCAACTGCGAGACACGACAACGACGACAACGACGACGCCATCAGAAATCTGCTAGCTGAGAAGAACCGCCTACACAAAGCCTACGTAGATCACCCCACTGAGGACAACAAAGCTGCCTTCTACCGCAGTCGCAGACAGCTTCAGCAACGACTGCGTGAGATGCAGGACGCCTGCACTGCTCGCAAAGCTGAGGAGATCCAAGGCTACGCGGACCGCAACGAATGGAAAAACTTCTTCTCTGCGATCAAAGCTGTCTACGGTCCGCTGACGAAGGGCACTGCTCCTCTCCTCAGCGCCGACGGCAGCACTCTCCTGACTGAGAAGACGCAAATCCTTCAGCGATGGGCCGAGCACTTCCGAGGCGTCCTCAACCGCCCTTCCGTCATCTCCGACGCCGCCATCGCCCGCTTGCCGCAAGTGGCGACCAACGCGGACCTCGACCTCCCGCCATCTCTCCAGGAAACGATCAGAGCCGTGCAACAGCTCTCCAGCGGGAAAGCACTCGGATCGGACGCAATCCCTGCTGAGGTCTACAAGCATGGAGGTCCCCTACTGATGGATCACCTGACTGCGCTCTTCCAGGAGATGTGGCGTCAAGGTAAAGTCCCTCAAGATTTCAAGGACGCGACTATCGTGCACCTTTACAAGCGAAAAGGGAATCGCCAAGTCTGCGACAATCACCGCGGCATCTCCCTACTGAACATCGGCGGGAAGATCTTCGCTCGCATCCTGCTCCACCGCCTCAATAACCATCTAGAACAGGGCCTTCTGCCGAAAAGCCAATGTGGCTTCCGTCGTCATCGTGGGACCACGGGTATGATCTTCGCCGCCCGCCAACTTCAGGAGAAGTGCCAGAAGATGCGGACCCACCTGTACTCTACCTTCGTGGACCTGACGAAAGCCTTCGACACGGTGAATCGTGAAGGACTGTGGAAGATCATGCAGAAATTCGGCTGTCCGGAGCGATTCACTCAGATGGTGCGTCAGCTGCACGACGGTATGATGGCGTGAGTCACGGACAACGGAGCTGTCTCAGAGGCATTCGCAGTGACCAACGGAGTGAAGCAGGGCTGTGTGCTGGCACCAAACCTCTTCAGTTTTATGTTCTCTGCCATGTTGATGGACGCCTACCGCGACGAACGCCCCGGGATCCGCATCGCCTATAGAACGGACGGTCATCTCCTGAATCAACGGCGAATGCACTTCAAATCGCGCGTATCCACAACCACCGTGCACGAACTCCTCTTCGCCGACGACTGCGCCCTGAACACCACCTCGGAAGAGGAGATGCAACGCAGCATGGACCTCTTCGCTGCCGCCTGCGAGAACTTTGGGCTGGTCATTAACACGCAGAAGACGGAGATGATGATCAAGCGCCACCCAACTCAGTCACAGCCCCCAACACGCCGCAAATCAACGTGAATGGGACTAAACTGCAAGTGGTGGAGAACTTCCCGTACCTGGGCAGTACCCTCTCACGCAGCACGAAGATTGATGATGAAGTCGCCAACAGGATCTCGAAAGCCAGTCAAGCCTTCGGTCGCCTCCAAAGCACAGTTTGGAATCGTCATGGTCTTCAACTAAGCACAAAGCTGAAGATGTACAAGGCCGTCATCCTGCCGACGCTACTGTATGGGGCATAGACATGGACGGTGTACACGAGACAGGCGCGTCGACTGAACCATTTCCATCTCAGTTGTCTTCGTCGCATCCTGAGGCTGAACTGGCAGGATCGAATCCACGACACGGAAGCACTGGAACGAACGGGAATCCTCAGCATCCACGCCATACTGAGACAAATGCAGCTGTGCTGGGGCGGACACCTCGTGCGCATGGACGACGAGCGACTATCCAAACGGCTCTTCTACGGAGACGTCGCGACGTGTTCTCGCCGTCAAGGAGGCCAAATTCGCCGTTACAAGGATACCTGAAGCGCCTGAAAATCAGACCGACCAACTGGGAAGAGCTCGCTCGAGATCGCCC